TCTTCCAAGTGTTGGCATTGATCATGTACTTAAAAAAAAATCACGTAGGCCTGCCGTGAAGGCCTTAAGGCGGTCTTGTCATCTGCCTCAACGCAGGGAGAATACTTATGGCTGAAGCGACCGGCATACTCTCGTAGTGACTCGTCCGGCTTCTGACGAATAGTGTACAAGTCATCTGCAGAATGCAAGTGATCAGTCTGGAAGATGTTTTGAGAGAGAAACAGTTTCCTCAATTCCTCAAATGAGTCTACTGTCTCAGGTGGAAGACGGCAATACCAGTTTAGAGCTTTGCCAGAGAGGGTGGAAGGGAAGAGAAGACATCGCTCTTCGTCGGTGTGCATCTGATATGCCATGGTGAACTCAAAGAGGTTAAGGTGTTCAATTGGGTCATCCATTCCAGTATAGAGTTGTAAACCAAGCTTTTGTTTTGTTGTCTTCGTTTGAAGGGGGTGTCGATGATCCTTCTTATGAGAGGGCCAGGCCTGGGTTGGTTCCAGTCAGGTATCTCGGCCTGACGTTCGACCTTCAACTTGTTTACTTCCTCAATGAGCTGTAGGATAAGGGGGTCCTGAGTGGAGTCATGTACCACTGGAATTTTCTTTTGTAAGTCTTCATCGCCTCTTGGAAGTAGGAAAGTTTGAGCAAGGACGTGTGGTTTTTTCTTGGACGTGTCGTACTTACTTCTAGGATGAGTCTGTCGGAATACCTTAGAGTCCCCTGTACCTTCATGTTCCTCTGGGACCTGTCGTTTCTTCCCTAGATTGGCAGCTGGCCTGGATCATAGGAGGGGACCGAGTCTTTCAAAAACCCTTGGGTCATTGATCTTCGAGCATATGTGGAGGGGATTCTCTCGACGTTGCTTTAGAAAGTCTCGGCAGTCACGATAAACGGCTTTCGATCCTTCCAACCTTTCTGCAAGGAGGTGTCTTCTTCCACTTATTCTACTTCGGGTCAAACATCTGGGTTGAGAAGCTTCATTTTGATCAATGTTTTAATGATTAGCTCGCTCCTCATCAAGGATACTGATGTCGAAGGGAGGTGACCATCCATGTTGCGGGGCATCCAAATGATGGTTGATGTCCATAAGGGCAACGAGCTCGCATGTTTGAGTACGCCTAGTTTCGTGGAGGGTCTCAAAGAGCTTCTCATACTGCTCCTGGAAGACCTTATTTTTCTTTGCTATCTTGTTGTTCTGAGCTTTTAGCTCATCGACTTTAGCTTGAAGAGCAACCCTTTTTCCTTCATTCTTTCATTCCTTCACACTAGGTGTAAGAGAGGTGTCATTCTGTGTGTTATAGCTTCCTTCGCTCCCCATGTGGGAGAGGGATGCCTGGTAAAAAAAGAGTGTACGAATGGTGGAAACCAGCTTGGCAAAGCTGAAGAGAGTGGGAATAAGTGTCGTTCCCACAGACGGCGCCAAATGTTGATGCATAAAATCAATGGGGACATTGGTACAATAGAAAGTGTTAAGTTTGTGACCTTCGCTAGATTGCTCCAGTCATTAGTGTGGATAAGTATGTAAATGGATAGAGGTAGGGAAGCAAACACAAGATGTACGTGGTTCACCTAGATTGGCTACGTCCACGGAGTAGAGGAGTTCTTATTAATTGTGAAGGGTTTACACAAGTACATAGGTTCAAGCTCTCATTTAGTGAGTACAAGTGAATGATTTAGTACAAATGACATTAGGAAATATTGTGAGAGAATGATCTCTATTTATAGAAGAGAGTTTCTAGTTTCATTCTGACATTGACACGTGTCGTGTTATGATTGGCTTCTGATGTTGACACGTGTCGCGCTATGATTGGCTTCTGATGTCGACACGTGTCACGCTGTGATTGGCCTCCTAGTGGGAGGGAAACTCTTTTGGATCCTTAACATTTCGGGATTGGTCAAGTATGGTACAAACACATCGAATATCTTAAATTCAAGGTAAACACATATGACTCATTCATTTAGTTTTTGGTAAATTACATAGTAACCCCTCAGGTTTAAGGTCTATTACAACCTCATACAACATCTTTAAAACATTTCACTTTCATACCTCACTTACTATTTTATTTCAATATAGTACCTCTGTTACATTTTCCATCCATTGATCTGTTAAGTGCTGACGTGGCTGCCACCTGTGTGCCACGTGGCAAAAAAAATTGAATCTTCTTAAAAAAAAAACCTATATTTTTCCCGATTAAGGCATATAGAAACCCTTCTCTCTCTTCCTCAGTCGTTCTTTCTCTTTTGAATACTCAGAGAAGTCCAATTTCTAGGGTTTTTTTGTTGCTTTCCTTCTCTGTCTCCTACCCATTGGGATCACGATCAATCTTCCTTAGACGTACTCAAATCATACGACATGTCGCTAAGGCCGAGCACGAGGACCGAGGTTCGTCTGAACAACTACAAGGTGGCGGTAGACGCCGATGAGGGTCGTCGCAGAAGAGAGGACAACATGGTGGAGATCTGGAAGAACAAAGGAGAAGAGAGCTTGCTGAAGAAGCGTCGCGAAGGCTTTCAAGCCCAACAATTCGCGCCATATCTCCAGCCATCAAATCTCAAGAAGAAGGTAATAATTTTGCGAGGGTTTTTGTCGCTGTTCTCTTTAATTGTGGGTTTGAATGGATTCGATATTGGACATTTAGGGTTTGATTTGATGTTTTGAGCAATAGGTTAAGGTAAAATTCATCTTATTGGTACTTATGTGGGTTTGTATATGATTGCAGTTAGAGAGTCTACCTGCCATTGCGAACTCATCTGCAACCCATCTTCCTCGACCTTCATCCACTCCGTCTCCTCCCTCTAAGCTTTGCAACTCCTGCAAGATCCGGTCGGGTTGAAAACCGGGTCAGATTGCTGGTAGCAATAGGAGCAGGGGTCGCACTGGAGCCAGTTGAGGCGGGAATCGCACAACGAGCCGGTGAGGTGGGAACCACAGAAAAAAAAACAGGCGAGGGTCGCTGACTGTGAAGGGAGGCCGGCGATGGTCCATTTAGGAATTTGTGGGTGTGGATTGAGGGTTTTGGGGGGGGGGGGTGGGAAAAGTGGGTTTTGGGGTGCTGAGAGAAAAGTTGGGGGGTTTGGATCATTGGATTTGATCGGCAACGGAGGGAGAAGACGGGAAGCAACGGAGGGAGAAGACGGGAAGCAACAGAGAAATGCATAGGGGGGTTGCGGGTTTCTAGGTTTGTTATGGGGTAGGGGGTTTCTGGGTTTGCTTAGGGGGTGCGGGGTTGCGAGTTTCAGTTTTTTTTTTTTTAGAAAATTAAGGTTTAAAAAAAAAAATTTACCACGTGGCGCATATTTGGCAGCCACATGGCATAAATGTGGCAGCCACATCAACACTTAACAGATCAATGGATGGAAAATGTAACAGAGGTATTATTTTGAAATAAAATAGTACTTGACGTATGAAAGTGAAATGTTTTAAAGATGTTGTATGAGATTGTAATAGACCTTAAACTTGAGGGGTTACTATGTAATTTACCCTTTAGTTTTTCTTATTCATTTATAATAGTTGGTTTCATGGTTTGTTCAATCCTGGCTATCCAGCACATCACATCAAATCTTTAGTCTCACTAGTTCCGCACCATTTGGTGTGTGTGTGTGTGTGTGCGTGTGTGCCCCATTTGGTTTGTGTGTGTGTGTGTGCCCCATTTGGTGTGTGTGTGTGTGTGCGTGTGTGTGTGTGCATGTGCGTGCGTGCGTGTGTACATGCGTGCATGCTTGCGTGCGTGTGTGTGTGTGTGCATGCATGTATGTGTGTGTGTGCAGTGCCGGTCCTGGGAGTAGCATGATTAGGCGGGCGCTTAGGGCCCCCACTTCGGGGGGGGGGCCCCAAATATATATATATATATATATATATATATATATATAAGTGTTATTGACACTTTAAAAATCTCGTCATACACTTTTTACAAGTATATTTTTTTTTCCAAATATAGAAAATTTGGAACGTACTCCACTAGAATTTTGGAATGCCAATAACAATTATATATATATATTGTAGTTTGAGTAAAATATCTAAATATGAAATTATAAAAAATAAAAAAAATTTGGAACTTGCTGTGCAACTTTTGGCCTCGGAAAGGGCCGGAAGGCCTAAAATATTTCTTAAGTACGTGTATATATATATAATAATAATATATATATATATTTAGAGTTTGAATTTAATAAAATATTTAAGTATAAAATCATATAATAGTCTTGAAAGTTGAAACTTGGTGTACAAAGTGTCTTGGGTGGGGTGCAGAGCTTCAGCAACAATTCAACCATTTTCTTTGCAGAGCTTCAGTTCTTTCCCACTTGCGGAGGATAGGTAACCTCACTGATCAATGCTTCTCTTCTCTTATGCCTTTTTTTTTCTATAATTTAATTTGTAAGTGTTTGTAAATATAATTAGGATTTTCGATTTTTCTAGGGTTTAAGATTTTTATTTTAATGCTTATTGTTTATGCGAAATCAGAGTATTCACTTGTCAAGTGTCTATATTGTAGTTATAAAATTCGAATTTGTGGATGCACGTAACAAAGTGGTTAAATCCCTTCAAGATGATAATTGGATTATGGATGCACTTAACAAGGTTGGTTACTTTTGCTTCCTAACTAGTTTTGGTTCAAGATAATTCAAAGTTTCGATATTGAATTTTACTGTATTTTTTATGCACCTCGTTTTGTGTTGTGTCATTTGTATCAAACTTTTGTGTTGGGTAGTGGGTGAAATTTGAATTTTAGTTTGTTTCTCTGTCAATTTGTTGTTTACAAAATATTGAGTTGATTATTGATTGTGGGGTTGTGATTTCCTAATTGAAAAAGAGTTGATTATCATGCCTCCTATTAGAAATAGTAAGCCCACTAACAGAAACATAAAGTATCTCTCGGGGTCTCAAAAAAGAAGAAATAAGGAAAAGGAAGAAGCATTAATAAAGTCTCAGGCTGGATCTCTTAGTAAGTTTTTCAAGAAACAAGATGACAGTTCAGTGAATGAGGAACAAGGGAATCATGACAATAATGGGGAAAAAAGATGAATTCATGATTAAGACTAATAACGAAGAGCAAGATGAGCAATGTGAGCCTATATCTGACGATGGTACGTAGTAAATAGTAAGAAGATGAACCTTTGATTGAGACTGACATTGAAGAACATGATCAAGCTAATGAGAATGGTAAAGATAATGAAATTGTCTTTCCTTTGAATATTGATGATCCAGGGAATTGGGATAAGATTGATCAAAATCTTAGGGGCATGTTAGTGGAAAGAGGTCCAAAAAGAGTTGATGATGTTGCATTTCCAAAAGATAATTCAGATATGTATTTTTCTTCTGTACATTACATTAGAAAATTGCCTAATGGGGAGACGCAAGATAGGAAGTGGCTAGTGTACTCATGTTCTTTGGATACAGTATTTTGTTTTTGTTGCAAGTTATTCAAGCAAATTGGAATCAAGACTTACTTGGATAATGAGGGTTTTAAAGATTGGAAGAATATTAGTCACAGACTTACAACTCATGAAACTAGCAAGGAACACATTCACTACATGAATGAATGGATTTAATTGGAAAGAAGATTGCAAAAATGTAAAACAATTGATGCAAGTGTGCAGCAACAAATCAGCAAAAAGAAAGAACATTGGAGACAAGTGTTACGGAGGATAATTGCTGTTGTGAAAAGACTTGCAAAAGTTACTTTGGCATTTTGTGGAGACAATGAGAAGCTGTATGAAGAGAATAATGGAATTTTTTTAAATGTGATTGAAATGATTGTTGAATTTGATCCTACAATGCAAGAGCACATTCGGCGTATTGATACACATGAGACTCATTACCATTATCTTGGTCACAAGACTCAAAATGAATTGATACAACTGTTGGCAAGTGAGGTCAAAAGTGAAATCATAGCAAGAATCAAAGAAGTAAAGTATTTTTCAGTGATACTTGATTGCACTCTAGATGCCAGTCACGAAGATCAAATGTCTCTTATAATAAGGTGTGTGGATGTTACAAAAACTCCAATAAAGGTTGAAGAATTCTTGGAATTTCTAAATGTACATGACTCAACAGAGCGTGCACTATTTGATGTGCTTTTAGGTGCATTGAGCACTCTTGAACTTGATGTTGATGAAATAAGGGGACAAAGTTATGACAATGGTTCAAATATGAAAGGCAAAAATAAAGGCGTGCAAAGCAGAGTACTTGAAACAAATCCTAGAGCATTCTACACTCCATGTGGCTGTCATAGCCTTAATCTTGCACTTTGTGATATGGTCAACTGTTGTCCTAAAGCTATGTCTTTTTTTGGAGTGGTACAACGTATATATACATTATTCTCATCCTCAACAAAGCGATGGAAAGTTTTTACAGATCATGTGCAAGGAAGTCACACCCTCAAACCATTGTCACAAACTCGTTGGGAAAGTCATATTGAAAGTGTTAAACCCATAAGAGAAAGTGCTCAACAGATAAGAGATGCTTTGATTCACTTGGCAAATACTAGTGAAGATCATAAGTCAAAGAGTGAAGCCAAATCCCTAGCAATCCATGAGCTGGAGAATTTTGAGTTCTTGTTAGGTATGATTATTTGGCATGAATTGTTGTTTGCTATTAATACTGTTAGCAAAACTCTTCAAAAATAAGACATGCATATTGATGTTGCTATTGATCAATTGAAAGGGCTTATATCTGTTCTTGATCGGTATAGAGAAACTGGATTTGAAGAGGCAATGAATGAAGTTAAGAAAATAGCAAGTGAGATGGAGATTGAGATTGTTTTTAGTGAGAAACGCATCATTCAAAGAAAGAAACAGTTTAATGAGAGTGCCAGTGAAGTGGCAACACAATCAGCAATTGAAGCTTTTAGAGTTAATTACTTCATTTATATAGTTGATCAAGCTCGAACTTCACTTTATATCAGGTTTGAACAATTTCAGAAATACGAAGAAACTTTTGGGCTTTTGTTTAATTTGAAGAAGTTAAAAGATGTAGACAATGATAGCTTGAAGAGTTTTTGTATCAATCTTGAAGGATTTCTGAAACATGGTGAGCATTCTGATATTGATGGAAAGGACTTATTTATAAAGCTAAGAATCTTGAGAGAAACTTTGCCGAAGGAAATAAATCGGGCAATGGAAGTGCTGAAATATATAAGACAAATGGATGGTTGTTTCCCGAATGCATGGGTTGCTTATCGTATTTTGTTAACCATACGAGTTACAGTTGCCTCTGCAGAAAGAAGTTTCTCAAAATTAAAGTTGATCAAATCGTATCTTCGATCAACTATGTCACAAGAAAGATTGAATGGGTTAGCTATTTTGTCAATTGAAAAAGAATTGGTTGAAAAGTTAGATTACGTAAACTTAATTAGTACATTTGCGTCTAAAAACCCGAGACGTGTAATATTTAAGTAATGTTTGCATATCTTTCTTCTTTGGATATGAATTTTAATGATTTTTTATGTAGAAATGAAATTTTTCATGTATTTAGCGAAACCTTTTCTTATACATATAAATGTACAACAAGTCGGGTGTCAAAGAACTTTAGAGCCCCCATTTGAAGGCTCGCCTAGGGCCTCCAATTTCTCAGGGCCGGGCCTCTGTGTGTGTGCATGCGAGTGCGTGTGCGTGTGCGTGTGTGTGTGCGTGTAGGAGGCCTTTGAGGGAAATGATCCTCATTCTAAAAAAATGGAGATTAGTTGCGAGTCACACCACATCGAACTTCAATGATTCGAACCATCTATTTTTCAAGTTACACATCATAGATCATCCTTACAAAATATTAGCCATATCTGAAATTTTTGAGACATCTACTTGAGTTCAAAGAAATTGATTAACACTTTGTTCTATAAAAAACAATGAAAGTTCACCATGATAGTTAAATAAGCAAATGGTTTCGGATTGAATTGAATTTTTGCAAGGATGATTTATAAATCGAGACTTGCATAATAAACCGTTTAGATCGTTGAAATTCGATACATTTAAAAGAAAATAGAGATTCCTTTCCTTAAATGGCCTAATATATATGTTGTCAGGATCCATAATAAATCAACCAAATGATATATGCGTACACATAATTACCTCGGCTTTTTTGTAAACAGCCAAAAGGGCAAAAAAACTTTGGAATTTCCAAAATCCACAAAAGGAGTTTACAGAAAAACAAGTTTGATGACATAAAAGGTCAAGGCGTGCATTTGAAGACTAACAACTACACGCCCACTGAGCAAATCTAGCTAGACACCACATTGTTATTGATTTATCTTGTGTGATGTGTAATTATGAAGGTGAAACTACTATTCATACTATGGACCGTCCATACGCAAAATGTGCGTGGATGACTCACATTTAGGGGTTGTTGAGAGACCTTAATTCCTTGTCAGTGATGGCTTCGATTAAGGTAATCGCTGGAAAAATCTATCATGTCGACTTTGATCCCTTCCTAATGATTTTTTGGGCATTGTGAGGAGCAAGAAAAGAAAAGTTGTGGTCGGATAGTACGGATTTACCAGACATGTGTGCTGCTAACGCTATACATCGACGGCACAAATTTGTTTCTTCTAATTCTGTGCAACATGGGGATAGAACTCAGTTGTTGGCCCTTCCCAAATGGTTATCCCCACCTACAGGCTATATCAAGATGAACATTGGTGGCTCTTGGAACCGTGATAGGAGGGTGGCTGGTTTTGGAATCATTGTTCGGGGTAATACCGACAACTTTGTGGCCGCGAAGTGTGGCTGCTTGGAGGATGCCTTCTCCCCCCTTCAGGTAGAAGCTATGGTAGTCAGAGAAGGTTTAATTTAGGCGGTTACAGGGGTTTTCAAACAATTCATTATGAGAGTGATTCACTTCAGATTGTGAAAGCGTCAAAGGATTCCTCTACTAATTTCTCTTTAGTTGGACAAATAGTAGAAGATATCAAGGTGTTATTTCACTGAGCAAATATTTACTGATACCCACCGACAAGCTAACGTTGTTGCCCATAGGCTTGCAAGAATTGGTCTCTCATGTAGTTAAGTTTGTGAATGGTATGATTCTCCTCCAAGTTTAATCATTGATTTACTTTCTGAGGAGAGCTTTGTGCCTTAAATGGCTTATGTAGCGAACCTTTTGTAATAACTTTATAAAATTGAATCTACTATCGTTTCCTTCAAAAAAAAAAAAAAAATTCTCAATACATGGTGTGTTCGCAATAAATAATGAGTATGAATCTATGATTTATTTAGTAGGATTTTTCAACGTTAACTACACATTTTTAAAATGCAAATACGTCTGTATGTAAATACTAAGATACAATGGATATTGCGGAGACTATTTGGAAGTTTTAACTAACTAATAATTACCTCAATTTCAAGCCTCGAGGAATGGAGTTTGGGATGGTCTTTTATTGTGAAGAAAGTGGGTTGGTAGTAAAAGTTGGGAGCGAGCAAGATGATTCGACCTTGGATGTATGGCTCCAGTAGGTATCCCCAGATGTTTGTGTTGAACTACATGATGATGTGCTGCTCGATTCCATCTCTAAGCAGAGCTGAATGAAGCGCACCACTTCTTACTTCACTACAGAAAAAACGAAAACAGGAAATCATTTTATATAAACAATTATCTTTGTTATCTAATTAAAAACATGATTGTGGAGCCAAAAATAGTCAAGAAAATTATGGAGGCGACACGTAGACTTTTGGGGTTAAAAAGACAAAATTACTCCTGAGGCACATCGGGACTCTCATGCGCATGCAATGGACAACAACGACTCAATCGAGGTCAAAGGTGATCAAAATAGTATTCTTTTAAAACCCTCTCATCACTCCTCACCAAATCTTTACCCACAAGGTAACTCCCAATTATTCTTTTCAAATTGGGAATAATTGCCAAATTAATTGATTAATTACCTAATTGATTGCAAGATATTATGTGGCATAATTTCTTTCAATTAGAGCCAATTTCTACCATAAGTCGCCGGTCCCTATTTCTCCAAATAGGGCTAGCCACACCCCTATATATAGCCCTTCATTTCTCCAAAAATCTAGGTTGATTCTTCTGCTAAAATTCTTTAAACACTTTCTCTCTCAAATTCTAACTTTGCCATTGGAGATTCTTCGGCCAAAGGCCTCCCCATTCATCGTGGGCGCATGAGGCTCTTGGCCTTGATCCTGTTAATTGTTTTGTAGGTGCATTTTCATCCAAGAAGAAATAGGTGGAAATTTCCATCCACAAATTGGTGCTTTCATTGAGAGTCTTGATTCACACGCTCGTAGAAGACTTTTGCATTCAAGGTTTCTAATTTTTTGTTCATTCATAGATTTTTCATACGTTCTTATTTCTAGAATTTTTTTTATACAAAAATCCTTTGAATAAACGTAAAAGAAAAGTACAATGAGAAGAGATTCGGAAACCACGACAAACGGAAATTCCAATGTTCAAGAATTTGGACCACGGTGATCCACGAGGCTCAACGTGACAATGAGTGGAGTGGCACTACCCTCACGGGGTACCACCGTAACAGCCACCACGAAAGCAACCACCGTGGCCACCATTGGTAAACTTACAACCCACGGTGAGCAGCAAGCCTAGGCACCAAGGGCAGCCTAAGCTGCTGCTCCAGCAACGCAAGCCCAAGTTTAAAGCAGGCCCAAGGCATACCAGCCCAAGTCACACCGAAGGTAGCCCAGCGCCCAGCGCCACTTCAAACCACAAGGGCCCAAGCCCAAGGAGAGCCAGCCCGAGCCATAACCTGACGCGAGTACTGTGCACATTAAAGCTAAGCCCAGACCCAACTCTTATGCATGCCGCACGTGGAGTAACCCACTTCCATGGTGTCCCAAGCAGCCCAAACCGGTCCAAGACAGGTTCAGTCGTCCCGTCTCTAAATTTCTAGGCCGACAATTGAACTGGGGGCATTTTCACCAGATTTCTCTGCGGATTTGACATTTCTCAACTCAAATCTCGCACTTGGAGTCTACCACATTTCCATTACTTAAGGAGACGCATTCCGTTCAAGCTCTTCCAACCCAAATGGTGAACAACACTTGTCTCCACAAGTCATAAAGTTGATGAACGCCCTCGCACAGCAGACGACCTTGGTGAATTAGCTCTTGCAACACACTGAGATGCAACGTGCCCTTGGCGAGGTATCCCGAAGTAGGACAAGGGTAGACGAAGATCCTCTTCAACAGCGTCCCAACAAACAGTCACTCGACTAGCTACGAACAGAGCATTCAAGCAGTGTACACTCCCGACCGGGTCCCCGAGATAGTGTATACTCTCGTCTTAGCATGCGGAGGAGCGTGCATTCTTGGTTAGGCCCACGAATGAGCATACACTCACGGTTGAAACCACACTTCGATAATCAACATAAGCAACCTTCCAGACGAAGTGTTCATTCGCACCTAGGCATGTAAGAAGCATCATTCACCTCACATCAAAGTAGGCAGCACCACAGATGGAGAAAAGTAATCACTTATTCCAGCTCAAATTTAACCAGCAGCCCGCGAGGAATCCACTCACCTGCTAAGGATGTGTCACATGCACCGCAATCGTGGCATAGACGAGCCGAGCACATAAAAGAGCAGCCTAGACCAGCAGGTCAAGACCTAGAGCAGCCAAGAGCTCTGGTACCTCCAATAAAGGCAAATTCATGAAGAAGTAACGAGGCTCTTGACCGTGTGATTGCATGATTTCCAACTCAACGAGGTCACCAATGAAGCACTACGACGGGACATGACCAAATGAGCAGGTCACCCTTCACGGATGAGATCGAGTAGGCAGAGCCTCCATGTCTTTCAAATGAGATGAAGATCTGGAGAGACACTTAAAGCATTACCGAAGCACGATGGTCATTTATCGAAACAACTTTGTAAGACGAGGTGCAAGATTGATTCCACACCCTACTGCCATGATCCATAAGAAGTTTTGATGAGCTTTCCTTAGTTTTCACCAAAGAATACTCATCTTACCACTCGATCAAGAAGAAGTCCGACCATTTGTTCAATGTGAAGAAGAATCTAAAGAAGTCGTTTCACGACTATGTGAAGAGGTTCAAATAAGAGAATGTGAAGATAGTAAGATGCGATGACTCGATAGTAAGTGCAGTTTTCGAAAAATGACTCATAGCAGATCACCCGTTGTTTGGAGAATTGATTATGAAAGAACTAACTATGACAGACTCTTTTGCTATGGCAGAAAAGTATGCACTTTGGGATGAGGCTCGACGAGCAGACAAGGCACCAGAGCAGCCTCAAAAAAAGTCCATATTAGCTCAAAAGAAGGAGGACAAAAAATAGTACAACAACAAAAGCAAGCAGGGGGCCAAGTGTAGGGACTGATCCCCAACAAAAGGAGGCTCGACGTCTAAGAACTACTCAAAGTTCTCGATCCCGATCCACCAAATCCTTCGTGGCATCAAAAGCGAACCATGGTT